CAAGAGAGAACTTCCCTCCCCTTCCTTTCTCAGCAGCTGGGAGACTTAACACCACTCAGACACTGAGTAGTCATGAATGTATAAATTGTGAAAAAATAAGTCATAGAGGTAAGAACTCCCATCTTTGCAGCATCAGGCAGATGTATTACCACTCAGCTAAGCTACCAAGAATGAGAAATGGAACCTCACAAGTGCAAATGCATACCTAACCAAGGAGATCCAATCACTCAATCACTGAGCCAAGAACAGGAAGTCATACAGGAGAGAACCCTCACCATCTAATAGAAGCAGGCATACATAATACCACTCAGCCTTTTAGTATGAAACAGGGAGTCGTACATGCAAGAACCCCACCCACTCAGCGTAGGCAGATTCACTGCCACTAAGCTATTTGAGTGTGAAATAACGTGCTGTACATGCAAGAACCCTTACCTCAGCAGCAAGTACACATGCTACCACTCAGCCACTAAGAGTAAAACAAGGAGTTATAAAAATACACTCTCTCGCCTCACCAGCACGGGGATTCACTACCATGCAGCCATTAAGTGCGAGACAGAATTCATACATGTGGGAACCCCTATTTTTTGCAATAGCAGGCAGACAGTACCACTTGTTTGATGGTGAAATCTGTACCTTGGTAACAGAGAGAGAAGCTACTGTACTATTCAGCCACAGAGTAATATTAGAAGCCATACACATGTGCGAACCTACATCATTAAAAAAAGTAGGCACACAACCTGGGGTTGAGAACCCCCATCTTCTCAGCAGCAGGCATGGACGAGATTGGAGAAAGATAATACATAGTAGGTACACTTCAGTCTGGGGAGCACAAGGTAGTCATTGCAGTGATGTATAATCCACCACGGAACTGCAGGAGGCCAAGAGAGGAATACGAAGAGAGTAACAGAGCAATGGTGGAATGGTGGACACACTGGCTGAGGTGGCAAGAAGAGCTCACTCGAGCGGAGCAAAGTTACTGGTTATGGGCGATTTCAATCACAGGGAGATCGACTGGGAAAACCTGGAACCACACGGGGGTCCCAAAACATGGAGAGCCAAGATGATGGATGTGGTACTGGAGAACCTCATGCATCAACATGTTAAGGATACTACCAGAGAGGGGAGGATGAACCAGCAAGACTGGACCTTGTGTTCACCCTGAGCAGTTTAGACATTGAGGACATCACATATGAGAGTCCCCTAGGAGCTAGTGACCACATGGTTCTGTGCTTTGAATACATAGTAGAGTTACAAGTGGAGAGGGTAACAGGAGATGAATAGGAAAAACCAGACTATAAATGGGGGGACTACGTAGGTTTGAGGAACTTCCTGCAAGAGGTTCAGTGGGACAGAGAACTGGTAGGAAAGTCGGTAAATGAAATGATGGAATACGTAACAACAAAATGTAAGGAGGCAGAGGAAAGGTTTGTTCCCAAGGGCAACAGAAATAATGGGAAGACCAGAACGAGCCCCTGGTTTACCCAACGGTGTAAGGAGGCAAAAACCAAGAGCAACAGAGAATGGAAAAAGTACAGAAGGCGAAGAACACAGGAAAATAAAGAGATTAGTAGAAGAGCCAGGAATGAGTGTGCGCAGGTAAGGAGGGAGGCCCAGCAACAGTATGAAAATAACATTGCATCGAAAATCAAGTCTGACCCGAAACTGCTGTACAGCCACATCAGGAGGAAGACAGTCAAAGACCAGGTGATCAGGTTGAGGAAAGAAGGTGGGGAACTCACCTTCAAGGACCATAACATTGTATCAATCGCATCTGCTAGAAAAATGACAGGATGGATAATGAGAACCTTCAAAACTAGGGATGCCAAGCCCATGATGACACTCTTCAGGTCGCTTGTTCTATCTAGGCTGGAATATTACTGCACACTAACAGCACCTTTCAAGGCAGGTGAAATTGCTGACCTAGAAAATGTACAGAGAACCTTCACGGCACGCATAACTGAGATAAAACACCTCAATTACTGGGAGCGCTTGAGGTTCCTAAACCTGTATTCCCTGGAATGCAGGTGGGAGAGATACATGATTATATACACCTGGAAAATCCTAGAGGGACTAGTACCGAACTTGCACACGAAAATCACTCACTACAAAAGCAAAAGACTTGGCAGACGATGCAACATCCCCCCAATGAAAAGCAGGAGTGTCACTAGCACGTTAAGAGACCATACAATAAGTGTCAGGGGCCCGAGATTGTTCAACTGCCTCCCAGCATACATAAGGGGGATTACCAACAGACCCCTGGCAGTCTTCAAGCTGGCACTGGACAAGCACCTAAAGTCGGTTCCTGACCAGCCGGGCTGTGGCTCGTACGTTGGTTTGCATGCAGCCAGCAGTAACAGCCTGGTTGATCAGGCTCTGATCCACCAGGAGGCCTGGACACAGACCAGGCTGCGGGGGCGTTGACCCCCGGAACTCTCTCCAGGTAAACTCCAGGTAACAATTACGAGGTTTGCGAGGAGCTCAGCATGATATTTAAGGAAGTATTTACAGTAGAGACAGGAATGGCTCCGAGAAGACAGCACAGAAGGGAACACCAACAGGGAACATACCAACAGGTGCTGGATGACACACAAACAACGGAGGAGGAGGTGCAGAAGCTGCTAAGTGACATCTCCCCATGGGTCCTTAGAGAAGGAGCAGAGATGCTGTGCATGCCACTAACCACAATCTTCAATCCATCCCTTGAAACTGAGCAACTACCTGAGGTATGGAAGACAGCAAATGTAGTCCCCATTTTTAAGAAAGGAGACAGAAACGAGGCACTAAACTACAGACCAGTGTCTCTGACGTGTATAGTATGCAAAGTCATGGAGAAGATTATCAGGAGGAGAGTGGTGGAGCACCTGGAACGAAACACGATTATAAACAACAACCAGCACGGATTCATGGAAGGCAAATCCTGTGTCACAAACCTTCTGGAGTTTTATGACAAGGTAACAGAAGAAACGAGAGAGAGGGGTGGGTTGATTGCATTTTCCTGGACTGCAGGAAGGCATTCGACACAGTTCCTAACCGGAGATTAGTGCAGAAGCTGGAGGATCAGGCACGTATAACAGGAAGGGCACTGCAATGGATTAGAGAATACCTGACAGGGCGGCAACAACAGGTCATGGTATGTGATGAGGTATCACCGTGGGCTCCTGTGACGAGCGGGGTCCCACAGGGGTCAGTCCTAGGACCAGTGCTATTTTTGATATATGTGAATGACATGGTGGAAGGGATAGACTCTGAAGTGTCCCTGTTCACAGATGATGTGAAGTTAATGAGAAGGATTAAATCGGATGAGGATCAGGCAGGACTACAGAGAGACCTGAATAGGCTGGACATGTGGTCCAGCAACTGGCTTCTCGATTTCAACCCTGCCAAATGCAAAGTCATGAAGACTGGGGAATGGCAAAGAAGACCGCAGAGTATAGGCTAGGTGGACAAAGGCTGCAAACCTCACTCAAGGAGAAAGATCTTGGGGTGACCATAACACCAAGCACATCTCCGGAGGCACACATCAACCACATAACTGCTGCAGCATATGGGCGCCTGGCAAACTTGAGAATAGCATTTCAATACCTTAGTAAGGAATCGTTCAAGGCACTGTACACTGTGTACATCAGGCCAATACTGGAGTATGCAGCACCAGTTTGGAACCCACACCTGGTCTAGCACGTCAAGAAATTAGAGAAAGTACAAAGGTTTGCAACAAGGCTAGTTCCAGAGCTCAGGGGAACGTCCTACGAAGAAAGGTTGAGGGAAATCGGATTGACAACACTCGAGGACAGGAGGGGCAGGGGAGACATGATAACAACATACAAAATAATGCATGGAATAGACAAGGTGGACAGAGACAGGATGTTCCAGAGAGGGAACACAGATACAAGGGGTCACAATTGGAAGATGAAGACTCAGACGAGTCACAGGGATGTTAGGAAGTACTTCTTCAGTCACAGAGTCGTCAGGAAGTGGAATAGCCTAACAAGTGATGTAGTGGAGGCAGGAACCATACATAGCTTTAAGACGAGGTATGACAAAATTCAGGAAGCAGAGAGAGGACCTAGTAGCGATCAGTGAAGAGGCGGGGCCAGGAGCTGAGGCTCGACACCTGCAACCACAATTAGGTGAGTACACTGTTACTCAGTCATTGAATCAAAAGCGAGAAATCAAGGCGAGATCCCTTACAACAGCAGCAGGCAGACATATGACAACTTAGCCAGTTAGTGTGAAGTAAAAAGTTACACTGGTGAGACCCTCATCTTTACACTCCCCTCAAGGGAGGTTCCTTGAAGCTGGTGAAGTCTTGATCAAAGGAATGAAGCCTGCTCTCCTCTTCCTTGAATGGAACCTGAATTCCTCCTTTTCTCCAGGCATTTTATGGCCCTACGGATTTAGTGCTCCCTCCTAAATATAATCATTTTATCTTAACGGATAGAGAAATTTACAGTCTGCATAGTCAATAAAGCATTAAAATTACTGGGAATGCCTTTAAATTCTATGTACTCACTGGAGCAGAGAGATACACGATAATTCTCACCAGATATCAGAAACACTGCTGAAACAAGTGTAGAAGCGTTCAAGAGGAAACTGGACGAGTACCTGCCTAGTATGGGCCAACAGGCCTACTGCAGTGTTCCTCCTTTCTTATCTTATGATACTTTCACCAGATGCCAGATCAACCAGGCTGTGATATATATGTAGGCCAATGGGCCGCCAGCAGCTACAGCCTTGTTAACCAAGCAAGCACCTGACAAGTCTACTCCGAGAGTAGAAAAACTCTCGATACCCGTAAGAGTTAGGTCTCTATCTCTGCAGCAGATTCACTGCTGTTGGTACTTTCAAACACATGAAAATCTTCATCTCAGTAGCAGGATCAAAGTAAACCTTCATATGTTCTTACTCTTGAGAGATTAATACCTCTCAGTACTTACCTATGTGTGGTTGCAGGGGTTGATTCATAGCTCCTGGCGTGTGCACGAGTCAAAGAGGATACTTACGTCAACAATATGTAGCAGATTGTGAAGGGTAGTTACACCTCTCCTCACCATGGAGGTCACAGGCTGCACCGAGTACCACCTCGTCTGCGTCTCCTACCGGAAAATTTTATTCCATTAATCGTACTTTTACTTGACTTATATTTGCCATAACTGAAATTCTGCAAGTATTTAAAAATGTTAACGATAATAAGGGGCGTTTGCCAAGTTTGTTTGATAATCCAGCTGAACATTTCTTTATTTTTTTTAATTATCATTATATTAACTGCATTGTTCGGATACCTTTTAAAAGACAACTGCGTCTGCCTTCATTCAGTTCAAATCAAATCAAATCAAGTTTATTCTCTATAGCCTGGAGTTTACCTGGAGAGAGTTTCGGGGGTCAACGCCCCCGCGGCCCGGTCTGTGACCAGGCATCCTGGTGGATCAGAGCCTGATCAACCAGGCTGTTACTGCTGGGTGCACGCAAACCAACGTACGAGCCACAGCCCGGCTGGTAAGTAAGTAAGTAAGTTTATTCAGGTATACACAAATACAGTTACATAGAATTATCATACATAGCAGCATATGTGTAGAGAACCTAGGATAACCCAAAAAAGTCAGACAGAGTGACTTATTTCCATTGGTCAGGAACCGACTTTAGGTGCTTGTCCAGTGCCAGCTTGAAGACTGCCAGGGGTCTGTTGGTAATCCCCTTATGTATGCTGGGAGGCAGTTGAACAGTCTCGGGCCCCTGACACTTATTGTATGGTCTCTTAACGTGCTAGTGACACCCTTGCTTTTCATTGGGGGATGTTGCATCGTCTGCCAAGTCTTTTGCTTTCGTAGTGAGTGATTTTCGTGTGCAAGTTAGGTACTAGTCCCTCTAGGATTTTCCAGGTGTATATAATCATGTATCTCTCCCGCCTGCGTTCCAGGGAATACAGGTTTAGGAACCTCAAGCGCTCCCAGTAATTTAGGTGTTTTATCTCAATTATGTGCGCCGTGAAGGTTCTCTGTACATTTTCTAGGTCAGCAATTTCACCTGCCTTGAAAGGTGCTGTTAGTGTGCAGCAATATTCCAGCCTAGATAGAACAAGTGACCTGAAGAGTGTCATCATGGGCTTGGCATCCCTAGTTTTGAAGGTTCTCATTATCTATCCTGTAATTTTTCTAGCAGATGCGATTGATACAATGTTATGGTCCTTGAAGGTGAGATCCTCCGACATGATCACTCCCAGGTCTTTGACGTTGGTGTTTCGCTCTATTTTGTGGCCAGAATTTGTTTTGTACTCTGATGAAGATTTAATTTCCTCGTGTTTACCATATCTGAGTAATTGAAATTTCTCATCGTTGAACTTCATATTGTTTTCTGCAGCCCACTGAAAGATTTGGTTGATGTCAGCCTGGAGCCTTGCAGTGTCTGCAATGGAAGACACTGTCATGCAGATTCGGGTGTCATCTGCAAAGGAAGACACGGTGCTGTGGCTGACATCCTTGTCTATGTCGGATATGAGGATGAGGAACAAGATGGGAGCGAGTACTGTGCCTTGTGGAACAGAGCTTTTTACCGTAGCTGCCTCGGACTTTACTCTGTTGACTACTACTCTGTGTGTTCTGTTAGTGAGGAAATTATAGATCCATCGACCGACTTTTCGTGTTATTCCTTTAGCACGCATTTTGTGCACTATTACGCCATGGTCACACTTGTCGAAGGCTTTTGCAAAGTCTGTATATATTACATCTGCATTCTTTTTGTCTTCTAGTGCATCTAGGACCTTAAGATAAGATAAGAGATAAGATTTCGTTCGGATTTTTAACCCCGGAGGGTTAGCCACCCAGGATAACCCAAGAAAGTCAGTGCGTCAACGAGGACTGTCTAACTTATTTCCATTGGGGTCCTTAATCTTGTCCCCCAGGATGCGACCCACACCAGTCGACTAACACCCAGGTACCTATTTGCTGCTAGGTGAACAGGTGTAAGGAAACGTGTCGAATGTTTCCACCCGCCGGGAATCGAACCCGGGCCCTCCGTGTGTGAAGCGGGAGCTTTAGCCACCGGACCACCGGGCCACCTTGTTGTAGTGATCCAATAGTTGAGACAGACAGGAGCGACCTGTTCTAAACCCATGTTGCCCTGGGTTGTGTAATTTATGGGTTTCTAGATGGGTGGTGATCTTGCTTCTTAGGACCCTTTCAAAGATTTTTATGATATGGGATGTTAGTGCTATCGGTCTGTAGTTCTTTGCTATTGCTTTACTGCCCCCTTTGTGGAGTGGGGCTATGTCTGTTGTTTTTAGTATCTGTGGGACGACCCCCGTGTCCATGCTCCCTCTCCATAGGATGGTAAAAGCTCGTGATAGGGGCTTCTTGCAGTTCTTGATGAACACGGAGTTCCATGAGTCTGGCCCTGGGGCAGAGTGCGTGGGTATGTCATTTAGATTACAATGCAGGGTTTACATATTATTTATATGTATGTATATATATATATATATATATATATATAATATATATATATATATATATATATATATATATATATATATATGTATATATATATATATATATATATATATATATATATATATATATATATATATATATATATATATATATATATATATATATATATATATATATATATATATATATTCAGGCATTCTCTCCCACCATTCTTTGTTCTTTCGTTCCATCCCTTCCTCCCTCACTCAAATGTTTCTCACCAGCTTATTCTGTAGTGACTTCCACGTCAGCTTCCGTCTAGCCATTGGCCATGGCTCCTCCCTCACCGTGTTGAGCGCCTCCATTATCTCCCCTTCACTCAGCTCTGGGGCCAGAGATCAACATTGGGTTAATGGCTTCAATTATTTTGTATTTGATCGATTAAAAACAAATTGTTATAAAAGATAATTTTAAAAAATCAGTATCGCTGTTGGAAACATATGGTCACTTCTCTTTACACCTGTTATCAGTGTTCACCTAGCATTAAATAGGTACCTTTGTATTAGTCACTTGTTGTGGGTCACATCCTGGGTATCTGGTGGCATACCTTAGAGCTGAGCTTTCAAATGAGTTGAGGTACGATTAACAACGCCTAGTCTGTAAATTTAACTACGTTAAAAATTTACCACACCTGCAATCTCCCAACAAGGTAGGTTAGGTTAGTTAAGGTTTGTCAGGAAATAGGACAAGTGTTTCTTGACGCGGGTCTTAGTATGATGACCCACAAATGGAACTTTCGGTCATCTGACTGAGGCCTTCCACTGACTTACCGGTCCACCTCTTTAATAATTGTGACTGTGAGATTTTCTTATATATAATGACCAAAAACAAAATATATTTAATGAAATTGTAATATTATTCACAGACGAACAGTGTATTGCTGCCCATACGATTATTTTGAACCTTTTGAACAATTTAAAAAAAAAGTAATACGATGAGAATACATGGTCATTAAAATTTTTAATGTTTATATATTTTTATTTCAATTATTATATTTATTGCGTTAGTGTACTTATTCACTGTTAATATGTTTTTAATTATTAAAGCCATTATACATGTTATTACAGTACTAAATGAGACTGATAATGAACTTACTTTCCTGCAACTGGTCCTGAATTTGGGTAGTATCTACCACGCTCTTTTTTCTCGCTCCCCGGAAGTGTATAGTACCTGCAAGTTTATTCTCTATAAGGGTTACAGTGTGGGGTTTACAGGATTTGGATATTGTGTGGTTTACATGTTATAAAATACTAATTACAGAGGGGGCCACTAGGACACCTAGCATGGCTAGGCATTTCGGGCAGACTTAGATTAATTCTTAACATTAAATCCTTACAGATTATGGTATTAAGGCTAGGTGACTACATTATAATTTGTGAGTTTAGCAATGTGAATGCTTTTGTTTTAGCACAATACAAAGTGTCTATATTGGAGTATCATAGGCAAACTTATGACTAGTTAGGATTCATTATTTTAAGATTAAGATTAGTATTTCTGTGTTTATAGTCAGTGGGTGAGTGAGTGTAATTGTGAACCACCAGGTGGTTTTCATGTAGTTAGTTGTCGGAGTGTATCAGGGAGATAAGATGTTTTCTAACTGTAGTTTTGAAAGTGATGAGTGTGTCTGCAGTTCTAGAGTTTCCTGGTAGGGTGTTCCAGATTTTAGGTCCTTTGAAATACATTGATTTTTTTGTAAAGGTTTAGTCGGACACGGGGAATGTCATAGAGATGTTAGTGTCTGGTGTTTTGCCTGTGGATCCTGTCACAACTATCAAGAAAGCGTTTTAGGTCAAGGTTAATATTGGAATTTAAGGTCCTGTAGATATAGATTGCACAGTAGTAAGTGTGGATGTTCTGAACAGGGAGTAAGTTAAGATCTATGAAGAGTGGGGGGGGGGTGTTGCCAGGGATGGGATTTAGTGATTATTCTTACTGCAGCTTTTTGTTGGGTTATTATTGGCTTTAGGTGTGTTGCTGCAGTTGAACCACAAGCACAGATAGCATAGGTGTGGTATGGATATTGTGGAAAATACTGTATATATTTTCCGGAAATACGGTAATTTATAGGTAAAAAGATGGCCTATACTGTATTTAATAATATTTGTCATAGAAAACGGAAAGCCTGCGTCTGGGCAGGAGACTCGCCATCTTGGTTTTGAATTGGATACAACGTTAGTGTAATGGGAAGGAATTTTCGTGCTCTAGAGGTTAAAATTGGGCTGACACCTCTCAAATAGGAGGCAAAATTGTTGGACATGCATTCCTGCATAACTTGAGATATCAGACGACTGGACAAGACAGCTCCAGGAACCTCAGATAAGCTCTCTAGATTTGTGTATAATTCTGGCCAGTGTTTTCATAAATTTAGTTAGTGAGGTTTTTCTGAGTATGATACAACTTAATATCCAGTCAAATTGGTGAGTGATATTAAGATATATTTTCCTTCTGTTATGTAATTGTGTATATATATAATTTATTATTTTTAATATACAGTCCACAAATTTATATATTTACCAGTATTTCTGGTGTATGTATATTTCATTTAATTAATAGGTCCAGAGCAACTTGTGGTTATGACGGTGACCCGGTGGCCTGGTGGCTAAAGCTCCCGCTTCACACACGGAGAGCCCGGGTTCGATTCCCGGCGGGTGGAAACATTTCGACACGTTTCCTTACACCTGTTGTCCTGTTCACCTAGCAGCAAATAGGTACCTGGGTGTTAGTCGACTGGTGTGGGTCGCATCCTGGGGGACAAGATTAAGGACCCCAATGGAAATAAGTTAGACAGTCCTCGATGACGCACTGACTTTCTTGGGTTATCCTGGGTGGCTAACCCTCCGGGGTTAAAAATCCGAACGAAATCTTATCTTATCTTATCTTATCTTATGACAGTGGTAGGTATCGAAGGGGGACATCTTTTGCGACCTAGGTGTCCCAAATTCCTACTTGTCTATGTAACATTGATAAATAATAATTATCTTTGTTATCATTTACTGTTATGTACATAATTAGTTACATTCAGATAAATGCAATTTTCCACAGATATATAAGTGAATGGTATAGTGTGAGAAGGGCAGTTTGCGGCACGTAGTATCGTATCTTGGAGAGGATCCCCACCGTTTTGGATACTTTTTTTGCTATGTGTTGGATATGGGTGCTGAAATTTAGGTTGTTGTCGAGGTATAAGCCAAGGAATTTGCCCTCATTATGTCTGGCAATTAGAGTGTTTTATATACTGTAGTGAGGTGAGATGAAGCAGGCGGAGGCAGGATCATAGTGGTACCATCCACTAGTCGAAGTAGGTCTTCGTCCAAAGGTTGAACAAGTGTTGAAGAATTCTTTGTAACAAGATCCCATGATGCTGCAGTGTCTGACAGTTGTGATGAATGGTTTGAAAAACCGACAAGTTGAAGATTGAGACACTTATGCAGCATATGGGAATCTTTATTCAGGAAACGTTTCGCCACACGGTGGCTTCATCAGTCCAATACAAAGAGGAAGGCGTAAGGAGAGGAGGAGAATGAGGTAATCAGTCCCTCAACCTGGAGTCGATGTGTCGGTTTTTCAAATCATTCATCACAACTGTCAGACACTGCAGCATCATGGGATCTTGTTACAAAGAATTCTTCAACACTTGTTCAACCTTTGGACGAAGACCTACTTCGACTAGTGGATGGTACCACTATGACCCCGCCTCCGCCTGCTTCATCTCACCTCACTACAATATATAAGCCACGTCTACGGCCCTATGCTGTACATTCTACAAGATTGATGGACTGAACACATCGACTCCAGGTTGAGGGACTGATTACCTCATTCTCCTCCTCTCCTTACGCCTTCCTCTTTGTATTGGACTGATGAAGCCACCGTGTGGCGAAACGTTTCCCGAATAAAGATTCCCATATGCTGCATAAGTGTCTCAATCTTCAACTTGTCGGTTTTTCAAACCATTCATCACAACTGTCAGACACTGCAGCATCATGGGATCTTGTTACAAAGAATTCTTCAACACTTGTTCAACCTTTGGACGAAGACCTACTTCGACTAGTGGATGGTACCACTATGACCCCGCCTCCGCCTGCTTCATCTCACCTCACTACAGTATATAAGCCACGTCTACGGCCCTGTGCTGTACATTCTACAAAATTAGAGTGTTGTCGATCTTAATGTTAAGTTGCGCAACACCTGCTCTGCTACCAAACATAATATAGTAGGTTTTGTCAGTGTTAAGTGTAAGTTTGTTGGCTGTCATCTAAGTCGATATTTTGAGCAGCTCCTCGTTAACAATGGTGTTGAGGGTGGCAAGATTAGGATGGGAGATGACATAAGTCGTGTCGTCAGCAAAGAGAATGGGTTTCAGGTGTTGGGATATGTTTGGAAGATCATTGATGTAAATGAGGAAGAGCATGGACCCAAGGACACTTCCCTGCGGAACTCCAGTATCAAGTGGCCGTATTGATGAGGCTGTCTTTAATGGTGACATACTGATACCTATTAGAAAGGTAGGATTTGAAATATGCAAGCGCATGGCCTCTTACACCATAGTGGTCAAGTTTATGGAGTAGGATGCCGTGGTCAACTGTGTCAAACGCTTCTCTTAAGTCAATAAAAATTCCTAGCGGATATTCCTTATTTTCCAATGCTGTGTAAAGAAGGTCTAGCATTTTTATAATTGCATCATTAGTGCTTTTATTTTTCCTGAATTCAAATTGGCAGGGGTTGAGTATGTTTTGTGCCGTTATAAATGAATACAGTCTCCTGTGCACGAGTTTCTCGAATATTTTGGATAGCAATGGTAAGTTTGATATTGGCCTATAGTTGTTTACGTCTGTAGGGTCACCACCTTTATGTATTGGTGTAACCCTTGCTGTCTTGAGTAGTGTCGGGAAAGTGCTAGTTTCTAGTGACTTGTTAAAAAGTAATGTAATAGCATGCGAAAGGACATGGGCCGCTCGCTTGTACGATAATGGTGGGACGTGAGATAGATTCCCCGAGTGATAATATAGTTACTTCTAAGAGTAAATTAATGTATGCTGAGTGCCGTTTGAGATAACACGTTGTATTGGATTTCCTGCAGCATCTGCAAACATATTAATAATAGTTTTTTATTTCTTCTCGTAAGTCATTTATATAAATTAAAAACATTGACTTTGGTTAGTACCCCATTAATCCGGCACTGCCTTAAATTTTTAATTTAAACAAAAACGTTATCGCTATGTAATGCATTATAAAGAATTATTATTGATAGCATCAAATCAAAATAACTGAAATTGGTAATAATTTTATAATTAATAATGATGTCAGTAACATTTTATTCGAAAACCATTAAATAAGCAAATGGTTGTAATGCTCTGTAAATCATACAAGTCAACCCACTGTCTACAGTTGCACATTAACAGCTGCTCATCCCTACAACAGGATCAACGGTACAGCTGAACGACTCGTCGTACGACAAACGCCATTGTCATGTGAGCTTCCCTGATGACTGCAATAATACCAACAACGTAAAATCCAATATACAACATACCTTTAGCTCTTTCCATCTGAGAAGGCAGTAAATTTACCACTTCTTCCCACGCCTCAGTTGGTGACTCTTCATAACAAAGTCTTCCGTCTGCGTCATCACAGTCGTGATCTCTGTACTGCTGTTGTGGATGCTGTCTGTGTTCACTTACCTTCACCACAGTGAAATCATGAAAATGAAGGTTACCTTTTTGACTTTCAGAGTTGTGGAAAGTGATTTTATTATAACGTTTGAAATCTACTGGAATCCACATATCTTGATCTCTCTGGTCACTGTAGCTTGGAGACAAGCTCCGTCGTACAGGTCTTGAGTATAGTGTTTGTCCTTGTCTTTGGCTCATCCCTGACCTGCCATATTGATCATTAGAATGCGTTTCTCCACTATGTTGTGACGAAACGTTTTCGCCGTGGGAATTACTGAGATCCCTATTTTTGGGAGAATGGAGATAGTAGTCATTAATTCTACCAATGGAATTTTCTTTTCTTTTTTCGTGGTACATCCTTTGACAATGTGGGCCTCCTTGCTCCAGGTCATTAGAATACGCTCGAGACCGCCTGTTAACTTCACCCATATTCGAAGGATATCTTTCGTGTCTTTGGTATCCCTTCCCTGAGGTCCGTGATGGAGACAAGGAGCTCCTTAGGTCTCGGGGTAGTTGGACCTCAAGATCAACGTTACCAGTTACTCTAGGTAACACTTTCGTGCCATACCCCATGTTATAATCAACAGGGGGAGGTGTCGGGTGGTTCTTGGTTGATTGGCTGACCCTGTTGTCGCTGCTGTATGGCGGCTTATCGTCACACTCATTTGCTCGTCGGCCAGACTGAGGATTATTACATTCGAACCCGTCATAATGGTCAAGTCCAGACATCCTGAAAAAATAAACGAGCATACATTATTGCCATACCCCACGATACTGACAAGGTACAGAAGTAAACAAGAGCATGTTTGAAAATTTCCCCATCCACCTTGTATACCATGGGTTTTGCCCAAAGTAATGGTGGATCACCTAGCTCTTATCGATCCTTCAGTTTCTATTACTTACATAATTTGATAAGGGGGCAAAAAATATGGATATATATATATATATTTTAAATATATATATAATATATATATATATATATATATAATATATATATATATAATATATATTATATTATACATATATCGCGCTGAATAGGTAAAACGGTTTTTTGGCTTAAATAGCAATGCTCTTCTTGCCGAAAAAAGGCATTCGAAAATTTGTGTATGCAATAATTTCGCAAAAATCATTCTGAACCCAATGAAAAAATATATTTCATTGAAATTTGTTTATTATTAAATTAATGAAACTTATCAAAAATATATTTAGTTGGTTTAGGCTATGCTAAATTGCGTTGTTACAAAAAGGGTTTAGGTAATTTTTCTAAGGTTCTTTTTGTAAAAAATATTAATTTTACATTAGCATAAATGAAAAAATATATCTTTAAACGTATAAGAGAAAATTTTAGAAAGGACTTAATTTTAAATGAGTTCTTGCTAATTGACCAGTTTTACCTATTCGGCACGACATATTACATATGTGTGTGTGTGTAAAAAAATCTGAAAATTTTCCTATGATTTAAATAATAATTGGCAGGCATATGAATGTTTAGGTAATAATATAGGTGTGTTATGTTAATTAAGGTGACTTTAAAAAGGTGACAAGTCACTGGGATCCAACATACTCCCTACAATTTCCCTTTTGTGTAATAAAGTTAAAGGTAATTTATTGTAATGTTGAAGGAAATAAGATTCTGATCGGGAAAATGTATTACACGCCCAGAAATATTACTAAATTTGACTAAATATATATGTACAATATAGGACGGGGAGAAACAAATGGGAAGGTTGGATGTAAGACGAACCAGCTGGTTGTTTCTCTAATTTTGTAGTGTCCGTTAGTAATATTATCGGATAATTAACTCTACATTATAAGTGAAGAGCATAGACATCTGTAAATGTCCAGGTAGAGAAGGAATTGATAGACTCTAGTGATTAGATGACAGAAAATGCAATACGGAAGCTGTATCGGACGCCATATTGTTTACGGCCTGTTCCTCTTCAGTAATTTACATTTACCTCAAAGTGTTTTACAAACCACACAACAGGTAAGGTTACATGATATTGGCTAATTTACTATGTTAGGATAGACCACCAGTGTAATAAATTAGTAAGTAATAACCCCCTTCAGTGATACAAAGACAGAAGAATATATATAAACTTGGCACGCAGGTTGTGTACTCCATGATATGTCATATATAACTGATGACTATTTGAAAATTAACCCCCTGGCTTGCAATCCGCGTACTTGCAGAGACTTTTTTTGACTGATGTATACATCTAGTGATATGCTTGGTATTATATTCGTTTTTTCATCCTTGAGTGATAAATGCAGCATGTCCTCCCCAGTCTATACTTAGTTTCTAGTCTTTTTCCATCCCCTGAATTTTCCTACGTCTGTAACACGGGTTGAATGCCAATAGACGGGTTGAATTCCAATAGTCATTTGTCTGACTATTCCTGCAGTTTGTCCAGGTGATATTTTCCCTGTCATCGCCGGTTTTTATTCTCATTAGTTTCACATAATCTTTGAACATGGATACATTATCTTTTCTGGCATGTTTGTATATGCTAGAAACAGTACCAGTCCTTGTGGAACCTCACTTGTTACATTTGTCCATTTTATTAATTCCTAGAGGACCTACACCATCGCTATCTTCCCTTTTAAGTACTTGTTTTATAAAATAGGATTTCGTCTCAGAGTTTAGGCTGGCCGGCTGTTTAGAAAACCACATACCTACAGATCCTCTACCAGTCTTTCTGAGTATCTTCATTTCTATAAATATTCATATGACATGTAGTTCAACGCTACCTGTCTGTTCCACTGTTTAAATATTTTTGTAGTCGTGATAATTGTTGTCAACGTGGCTCGAGGCCACTAGGTGTTAGTCTCGTTAATTAAGGATGCGTGTCGCTCACGTATGAAATGTAAGGTGGAGTGTAGCGAACTGAAAGAATGTATGATGTATATACAAATATACATTCTTCCTCGAGGAACTGCGGACTAGAAACTCTGTATTTAATATCATATTTCTGTTTCTTCATGAAATCTTATATACACTGATGAACAAACAACCAGTGTACTTCCTTCAATTTCGAGTAAGGGGAGCCAAATTTAGTCTAGCCTTCTCTAATCCAACTTATTTATATGCGTCTATTAAAAATTCGTATATAAATAATATACATAATTCTATACGTACAGGAATTAGGAAATCTAATCAGACGTGTATGACGCGATTAACTGACTCAGTCCGATAACTTTTACGTCTGTGGCAATATTTAACACACGAACTGTATGTAGCTCACTGGTTAAAGCCTGCGGCTCACAACCGAAAATTCGGGGTTTGAATTCCACGCCAGGCACAATGTATGAGCAAATCATAGGTAATCGCAGTCATACGGACGCACGGTCATAGGGAACCACGGTAATGTAAAATCATTCATGGAGAACCATAGTCATAAGGAGCCACAATCATAAAGATCAGTCATAGGGAACTACAGCCCTCGGTCATAGGAAGCCTGTCATAGTAAATCAGCCACAGGATACCTCAGTCAAAGGAAACTTCATTCATAGGGAACCACAGCCAAAGGAAGCCTCAGTCATAGGGAACCACAGCCAAAGGGAACCACAGCCAAAGGGAACCTCAGTCATAGGGAACCATAGCCAAAGGGAACCTCAGTCATAGGGAACTACAGCTAAAGAGGGCAGTAGTTATCAGGAACCTCGCTCATAAGGAACCACAGCCAAAGGGAGCCTCGATCTTTGGGAGCCACAACCAGAGGGAGCTTCAGTCATGGGGAACCACAGCCAGAGGGAGCTTCAGTCATGGGGAACCACAGCCAGAGGGAGTCGCAGTCATCAGGAACGTCATAGGGAACAATCATAGGCAAACTATTACGTTTCTCTGAAAGTTTGGTAAACAGTTTCCAAGTAGTGAAGAGAGCACTTGAGTTGATCGTCGCATAATTACGACCCTCGTCAAGTAATTTTTCCTAGGCAACACTAAATGAATTCCAAAGGGTGAAGAACAGAGTGCAGAGACTTATAAAAGGAGCAAAGGCAAGGCACTGTTGCTCAAAAATCGAAGAATACAAGAATAACCCTGGAAAGCTCTGGCAACAACTAAAACAGTTGGGGTATAGCCATAAACAGATCTAACATAGTACTAAATATCGATAACGAGGTATGCCACGAAATAATAAAGTGGCAAATTGTTTTAATTCCTACTACACATCTGTCGCATCAACACTAGTAAGTAAACTACCGGCTGCATCAAATACCTTTAACAAAAACTGTTAAGTTTAAAACAATATATACCATAAAGGGGTAACCCCAAACAGTTGTCAACTAGTAAGTGTATCTCAAGACAATCGTGCAAAAGAACTAACCCGGGTTAAAACCCAACTAAGAGCACCGGCCCATATAACATCCCCTCTTAAGTTCCTAAAAGATGGTGCCTCTGAATTGCCAATCCCCATTACCACTTAATAAATTTGTCCATTGCCACTAATACCGTACCAGAGGGGTTCAAGAGGCCTGAGTTACTTCTACCTTCAAGAAAAATAGTAGGTCTGATGTCAGCAACTTAGGCCTGTTAGTATACTCAGTGTAATATCCAAAATTCTAGAGAGGGCGGTGTACTGTCAAGTAGTTAAGAAACTTAAAGACAACAAAATTCTTCATATTACCAATCAGGCTTTAGGAGATCTTATTCAACCGACGCCTCCCAATTAATCAATGGATTACATGTGAACTGAAATGTCGATAGGAAACCTCATAGGGAAAGGTAACCTTAGACTTGTAAAAGACCTTCGATGCTGTCAACCACAATATATTATGTAAAAAACTTCAAGCTGTCAGCTTGCTCAGCTATCAAAACTTTGAGGCCCAGTCCCTGGACCCATTATGTACCTCTAATCTTTTGATTACCGCCCACAGGATGGGTATGGGGTGCATAATAAAGAAAATCAAACTAACTTAAACTAAAACATAGGTTCCGTAGACTGGTTTAAGTCCTATCTTAGCAACAGGAAACAAATTGTCAAAATCAACAAAACAGAATCAGAACCCCCCGCTGATAGTATGTGGAGTTTCCCCAAGGTAGTATTTTGGGTCCCCCATTATTCCTATGTTATGTAAACGACATGCCCATTAGTGTCAAGTGCAAATTCCTACTGTATGTGGGTGATAGTGCTCTGTTTAGTGTCCCGTAAAGACCCACAAGATATAGCTAATGTAATAACACGGAACTGGAGTCCTGCAGCAAATGGTTAGTTTGACAACAAACTATCGTTACACCTCGAGAAAACGAAGCCATACTCTTTGGAACGAAACATAAACCGAGAAGTGCAAATAATTTAATGTCCGTGTAACGGGGAACCCATCACTGATAGGAACAGCGTGGTAAAGTTAACGAATGCCAGACTGAAGTTCCTATACAGACAAGCACACTAACACAGTGTCTACCTACTGAGGCTCACAAGTACCCTTTGTCTATCCCTTATACAATGTCATATGGACTCACTTGCTCTTCATGGTACTCTGCCTTGACTAAAAAAACTGAAGATAGACTGCAAAATCACCCAGAACATGACGGTAAGATTCATACTGGACCTGGGTCCCCAAAAAAACATGTAGGCCAGGATGAATTACAATTAGATATGCTAAATATTTAAAAGAGGGTAAAACAACAGAAGATAAAAACAAGTTTATAAAACTGCTCATTGTCCAGAATATCTTGCTGCCAATTTTGTCAAGACTGGGAACCAACTTGACTAAAGTAGTACCCACAGTCAGTGACCAGGCTTCAAACGCCTTTTATTGTACAGCAATAAAGGAATGAAACAGACTGCCTGTACATGCCAAGCCAGTCATAGCATGAGCCAATTCAAGAAAGAAAGCCAAAAAAGTGCCTGATGAAATGTAGCGACAGAAAGGGAGAAAAGATTTTTTTATTTTTTTTAGCCAATACACCCTATAAATATCAATAATTAATTTACCATATCATTTATAGTATGAGAATAAGATATTATCTCCTTTTCAGTTAAATAATAAAATATTATCTCCTTTATAGTATATTAATAAGGTATTAAAGGGACCCCAATGGAAATAAGTCACTCTGACTTTTGTGGGTTATCGTAGGTTCTTTACACTTATGCTGCTAAGTAAGATAATCTGTGTAACGTATTTGTGTAACCTGAATAAACTTACTTAAATCAATTAAAAAATACGGCCTCGCCTGATCCCAGCACCAAGAGCTTACGTCCTCAGTACAACACTGTCACCACTACTCACTGACTGACTGACGCATCACGCCTCTGCTGCCGGGAACGCGGGATTAACTAAAAAAACAAAGGGCATGATAAAATAGCCTAAATAACATGACACCCATCAACGTCACCCTATAAAACTTGACATTCAGAAAGGTTTTGCAAGAAAACATAAACAAAAAACTTTTTTCATAATGTTTTATGTGCTTAGAGCCCTGTATGAACATAACAGTAATTATTAGGTAAGACACAAATGCAACAGTTAGACAACTTTATTTCCCAAACGTTTCGCCTACACAGTAGGCTTCTTCAGTCGAATACAGAAAGTAGCAGAACAGTAAGATGTGAAGACGATGTAATCATCCATCACCCTTAAAGTCGTAGAATTTTTAGGTTGTCAGTCCCTCGGCCTGGAGAAGTTCAGTTCCATAGCAGGGAAATATCTGAAGATCAAGCGACAGTGCGGAGACTTAAATACTGTCGGAAGGAGAGGTGCAGCGTAGTAGTAGTAGTAGTAGTATAGTAGTAGTAGTGAGAGGCCACTGAGAGGTCATGTCCCTCTCAGATCCAACACTTCTCACTTGAAAAGCTTGTCCAAAGGGGTTTTTCTGTACCAAGATGCCCCGTGTTGCAAATGTCTGTCGTATTGTATACCATTTTGATGTTTATCTTGTCAGATACTGCAACACGTGGCATCTTGTACAGAAAAACCTTGGACAAGCTTTTCAAGTGAGAAGTGTTTTGGGTCGAGAGGGACATGACCTCTCAGTTGCCTCTCACTACTACTACTACTACTACTACTACTACCCCGCACCTCTCCTTCCGACAGTATTTAAGTCTCCGCACTGTCGCTTTATCTTCAGATAGTTCCTGACATGGGAAATGAACTTCTCCAGGGCCCAGGGACTGACAACCTCAAATTCTACGACTTTAAGGGTGATGGACTGATTACATCGTCTTCACATCTCTACTGTTCCTGCCTACTTTCTGTATTCGACTGAAGAAGCCTACTGTGTAGGCGAAACGTTTCGGAATAAAGTTGTCTAACTGTTGCATATGTGTCTTACCTAACAACCTGTCGGTATTGTATACCATTTTGATGTTCATAACAGTAATTGTTTACATGCATATGTATGCACGTACGTGTACTCACATAGTCGGTTACGAGGGTCGGGGCTCATTCCTGGCCCCGTATACACATAGCAAATTTTTTGGGGTACCGTTAGGGGATTTTAAAAAT